TCTAATGCCCCACATTTGTCCCATATCGCCCGAGGTGGGAGGGGTCGGGGTTGACATTGACTGGAGCATTACGCAGAACGAAACTTGGAATGTTTTCAAGTTACGTCACTCAGTCACGTGCCTTCCGGCCGGAAAACCAGCCCAAATGGAACAATATGGCGATTACTAGTTACCTGCGTCCCGTTGTGTCGTCACCGGAAGCGCTGTCCCAGAAGACGCCGAACTGCAGCGTCAATGACCTGCGTCCTACCTACCATTCGCAAAGGACGCCGGGAACCAGCGAAGTTTTGAGGTAGTCCAAAACGAGTTTTACGACAAGTCGGCGCTTTGCGACAATATGAGTCGGCAAGTTCCGGACAGAAAACCGATCTGTGGAGACTCGTCGTAGGAGATTTTTTTTTTTTTTTTTTTTTGAGAACAGGCGAAAATTAATGCGCGCGCAGATGTCATCCATAAAATTAAATCGGTGTAGCCTTATTTTGCTGTTTAAGGGTGGTAGTTGTAGCGCAGCGCATGTTCGATTATCATGTAAACAATGTATTTTACCCATATCGTATACAGTGTTGCGCTGTATAAATCGCTATGATCGAGTCCATATCAAACAGGATGTGGTGCGACAACCACCTGTTTTTCTAGCAAGGAAGCGCTTCTTTTATGTAATAATACATAGATAGAAAATATCAAAAGTTCAATGTAGGATAAAAAACTTTATTCCTTTAGTTTCCCCACCCCCCACTGAAACTTAATTGATAAATATTGATCATGGCGTCAGACTACATTTACCATTATATACAAATTGATAATTGAACAGTAGTATGGCATAGCAGTTGGTTGTCGGGTGGGTGTAAAAAGCCCTGAAATTGACCTCATTTGACGCACATATTTACACTCAGACCAAACCATTTCTCGTCTTGGATATGGTTTTTTTTTCATTTTCTGTTATTTTTTCCATGAAAATAAAATCGTTTTTGTAGGATGGAAACTTTTTGAGGTCAACTTCCCCACCCCCAAACTAAAGCAAATAAGTTTTTTTTTATCTGACATCGATCTTTTGACATCGTCCCTAATCTAAGCGAAATCTGTATTTATAATCATTCAGAACATTCAGAAAATAGTAAATCCTTTTAAAAAAAATTTTATGGATGAAAGACTGCAGACCAAAATGGTTTTGAGAATGGGAACAGCCTTTCTGTCACCCAATTACGTCTCATAAATGCCACGCCGAATCACCAGAGGGTGTGTTAATAATAAGTTCATCGCTATAGGCAACTGACCAGTCGCAAACATTAGATAACTATAAATAAATATCAAAATATGAAAATCTGACAATCAATTGTTTAGTGCAATGACTCTTTCCTTAAACAAATTACTGTAAAACATGTTGAAAAAGCGGCATGCAATTTTAGCGAATTGTGGTAAAATGACATAATAGCGAAATGTTGATTTAGCGAATCTCTCTTGTCTTTTTTGATTTCTTTGTTTGGCGGCCATTTTGAATTGATAATAAAGTCATTAGCGACATCTTGAATTAGCGAATCAGTTCTCTCGCTAAATTCGCGAAAAAGACATGTTTTACAGTATTATTTCACCAAATTTAGTTTGGAAAAACATATTCCTGTGGTGCTGGTACAGGGGTCATTAAAATAGAATGTGAAATTCATCCCTGATATAGCAGGATTCGCACAATACCGGTACACAAGTTCTTTCAAGGCGATCTAAATTACGTTTGCGTCCACTCTCAGTAGTGAGAAGGTGACTGGAGCAACGTAAATTTTCGGCGCGGATGAGAGGGTATGATTTATAGTATATATAAATTCACTGTTAATTCATATGCCGATATCTGTTTCTGTATTCTTTTGTATTTTCAATGATTCATTCCCAGCCTGATAAGGTTGCATGAGTTACGCCCTCGGCGAGCGTCACTCAAGCCTACATGTCAGGCTGAATTAACCAATTCTAATATCAATTTGTTTTTTTAACAAGAATATATATACAAATATTTCATTAAATCCTAAGATGGAGACAGACTACCGGGGGGGGGGGGGGGTGTAAATGCAATTTTTAGTAATGAGAGAAAATGTGACCAACTCAAACATAAGCATCATTTTCTGATGGACAGCTAAAAATCTAATAAAGAAAAAAGAGTAATTTTTCCTAATTGTAAGATAAAAAACAGAATTCTACTGACATGAAAACTAATGATAAATTCACTAAAATCATGAGAAGAGGCCTCATGAAAAAAAATGTTCTTGGTCAAACCATTAAAAATTATTTGGTTTTTGTCTCAAATATTTGACAGTCCACAAATTTCACATTGTGAAATAAATGAAAAAGATGATTAACTCGCAATTGTTCTGGTTCATAATATTTTACAAAACCATGGTATATCACACTATTCTCTTAGTTATGATCATTGTAATTTGTAATTATTCAGATTATTAACATTTATAATTAAGTTTCATTAATAAAAATTTAAACAAAAATTCTCATACATTTGATGTGAAGATTATAAAATAGTGATGATGCCACCAGTAGCTCCCGGATTTAATGCGTTGATAATCAAATGTCAAATATCACGACCTTTGACCTATGATGAAAGAACAGGCGATGTAAAATACTGGAAGTGCTGCATTTGTCGGTAAAACTTTTTTTTTCCCAAAGATTCAGTATACAATACATGCAACTGTTGTTTAACATTGGAGATGTGCTTCAATAGAGTAGTTACGAACATATTTTAATGAGAAAACTACAGCTTTTCAATCCCAGATGTTATAATATTTTACATGTACCTGCATGTATGAACAAGTTAAAATAGAATGCAACGTATAAATGTTATCATGTGACATTATGATACGTGGCATTTAAGTAAATGTAGTCCAAAGTGAAATTTTTTTTTTTAAAAACCACTAAAGGGTGAGTTTATATACCGGGTACACAATATGAGTTTAAGCGTTATCGCATGTTTTCAGCAAGTTTCCATGGTAACTATAACATGATTATTTTACTTCAATTTGTTTACTGTGAACATTTTTCAAGTCTGTCAAATTTATTGTAGATTTTACAAGTCTTTAAATCATTTCTTCATGATTGTCATAAAATACTGGAATCATGGATTTAAAAAAAAGGAAAAAATTGAAGGCTATACCTATATTGGATTTTAATCAGATTATTACTATAGATATAACACAAAAATTAGAAAAAAGTATTCATTCGCAACCTTACATGGGCAAGTCAATAGATTAATTTCTTTATTTTCAAAATAACATTTATCTTGGGGCTTCATAATAAATTGTAATTTAATCTGTCTTATTAATATGATAGCAAAATAAGCAAGCTTTAAAATAACATTTTAGTGAAAACAAATTAAATTAAAATATTATTTCTATGTGAGTATACATCCAAGTTATCTAGATCAAATTTTTGATATATGTATTTTTTTTTTAAATCGTGTGGTGCCTTGTATTTAACCTTTTTGTACACACACCCCAGAATGTCATGTAATAAATTATTCACAGAATTTTCATGATTATAGACTGCATCTAGTCGTATATTTCATTTAGTTAATTCGTCTTCCTCCACCGGCACGTCTTCTCTCTCTTCTCTCCAGTCATTTAGGTATTATGAGATACTTTTTACAATTTTATTGGAAAACTGGACACTATTTTTTTTTTCATTTTTTTTTTCAATATTCAGTACTTTAAAATTACTGTATATGCATAATTATCATCCTCATTATCAAATTTTCATATTATCATCATTTGAGAATCGTGTGAGACCTATACGTAAGGCTGGAATAGTTTTACAGGACATGTAAATGTCATCTTTTTTGTACTCAATGTTTCACAGTTTTGAATTTTGATTGATTTTATGTTCATCTTTGTTTTCAAGCAGTAATGAAATACTCAGAAGTAGCTGTCTTTGCATTGCTTCTCATGGTAACCATGACAACAGTTGCCATAGATGATGAAGAAGGATGCGATGAATCTGAAAGCCTTCTTTTGAAATATACAGTAAGACACATCATTTCAATTGCTCTCTATATAATTATATACAAATTAATTAATATCAATTCACCAAAACGACTGCACAATTCCAGGTGAGAAAATGTTCTTCCATATATAGAGCACCCTCCACCTGGTCTTACATAAAAAGTTTAATTTTAATGAACACATTTAAACATATGTCATTACTAGTGTCTGGTTTTCATTTAAATTCAAACTTTAATTGTGATTGGCTCACGAGTAGATATTTTATATTTATTAATTTTTTCATAAACTTTGAAAAAATTTATAATTCACAGCTGCTTCATTTTTTTTTTCATAACTATTTATGAACATCTCTGTCCATTCCATTTATAATATTAAATATTTAAGTTGTTTATCTACTCTTTCAGTTTGAACCAAGTGGTTTGAAGTACACAGAACCAGATGTCAAAACTAAAAAGGCTACCTTTGCCATGGGCTGCTTTTGGGGTGTGGAATCCACTTTTGGTGCAGCACCTGGAGTGGTGAGGGTCAAATGCGGATATACTGGAGGAAGCAAACTCAAACCAACCTACACTAATCTGTGAGTATTCTCGGGGGCGGACATCCGGGCATTTTCACCACCTGACAACCATCACGGTGAAAACAAAGACCGAAAACTCTCAGAAAACGGTACTTTAAGATTGTTTTTGAGACTCCCCTGAACAGTGTAGCAAGATTACCCTTGCGTGTGCAATTTAACATATATAAATTTGGTTGTTCAGGATTACTTCTAGTTTGAGCTTGTGTTGTTTTCTTGAATTTAGCTATTTTCACCAGTTCTTCGACCAGCATTTGACAGCAGTTCTCGCAGAGCCCATAGAAATACATGGTAGAGCAGTGCGCGTTTTAGCAACGTGGAATGTCTTGTGACGTTGCTACGCCCCCAAGAATATATCCCTATAAACAAAGATGGTGACTATATATATATATATGACTGTTGCACAGACCAACGCGAGTACAAACTGAGACGTTACCAAGCTTTATTTAGATATTTTTTTAGGTGATTGAAAGGTATTGCAGGAGTCAAGGGTCGTAATTAGTGCATGTCACCCCCACGCAGGTCAAACTTCATACTTTATCAACACAAATAATGTACAGCCCAATGACCACCGACTTTAATTACTTCCTTCTAAATTTGTATAACATCAGTCAATAAGTGTATGAAAAAGAATTTCAAAATATGGAACATTTCATACTTCTTAGTAAATTGGCCCAGCTGTAGTGAGTTTTTTCAGTTAAATTATAATAATAAAAAACTTGAAAAAAAATAGTTCTGCAAAATCTTGAGTGAACACAAAACCACATGGATAATTTCGTGGTTACAGGGGATTTCGCGTTAAAACATCCATTTCGTAATATTTTTATTTAATTTAAATTTTAAAAGAAATAAATTACCCAGACTGAGCTAGTCTAATTTCCTAGTAATTGGCTTAGTTGTGCTGAGCATGCTCTGAAGCTGGTTTCAAAATTACTGGTTGCATGATAAGATTTGAGGTTATCTAGATAAAAAATAATTGTGATTGTGTGTCAAGTCCGGACACGTAACTCACAGCCACTATAACTACTGATAATATTTTTTTATCACATCTCACTGCTGTTACGCATGCTATGATTGGTTGAGACTCGGTCACATGACATGGAATAAAAATGGATATTACATGGTATATTGCCCGCCAAGTGGATATTACATGGGTATATCACATGGATGACGTCACTGAAACTACTGCGCATAACAAATTGCCGTTCGCTGCACTGGTGCTGCTCTGGCCGCTGTTGATTTCAGGGTTGCTTTCAGGGTTTTGAAGGAACTTTAGCCATCCGAAATAGACAGTGAACGTGCCAGAATGGATATTAAGTAAGATACTCTGTTTTAATGTATAGAGTATTTTTTATATGGAGCGAAAATGTACGGCAAAACCTCCACTGAAACGTCGCAGCCGGGGTCACTGCAGCGTGTTCTACGCTGTGAGCATTTTTACGCGTTCCACGCGGATGCTATACGAAAACGCTCTAAAATAGGTGTGGTACATTCGTGAGAAAGTAATTTCAGTCACTTCCATGGCACTCCGACATTTTTATCTGTATAGTGATCAAATAACTTGCGTTTGCAAATTTCTCAATTCATTTCAAAAATGTTATTCTCGATAATTTGAGTGATCCACACTGCTGAAACACGGTTCAAATAAAAAGACTATACATGGCTGAAAATAACATTTACTGAGTGTATTTCGTTGTTTTTTCAGCAAACAATGTATGTATGTTATTGAGTAATGTGAAACTTGTTATAATAGATAAAATAAAATATTGCATACTTCAATATAAGTGTTGTTATTT